TGACCAAAAAAAAATTGAAATCACAGAAATGGGTTTAGTTGAGAGTAGAAAAGAGATGAGTTTGTTTTATATGGTGGCTACAATTAAAAAGTGGTTTAATGTGGGTTTGCTTTGTGGGTTTAGAAGTTAGAGAGAGAAGTGGATTTAATCAGAGAAGTGGAATTGCTTTGTAATTTTTAGGGAAGGATGGTGATTTGCATCATCATCAACTACAAAAATTATATCTAAAGATGTATGTGTGAAAATTATACACCATAGTCAGTCCAGATACTCTGCAAAAATATATAATAATTAATTATACAAGTTATATTTTGTATAATTATACATCATAGTGAGTCCAGATCTAGAAATCAAGTTATTATATATTGTAGTGAAAGTTATACACCATAGTGAGTCCAGATCCCTGCAAAAAACTTGTATAGTAATTTTGTATACATCTTGTAATTTTGTATATAATTATCGTAGTGAGTCCAGATCCTCTGCAAATCAATAAGATGTATGTGTGGAATTGAAAGAACTGAGAGAAATCAGGAAGGAAGAAGACGAAAATCTCTGTGTAAACCAGAAGAGAGAAGACAATGGAGGGTTTATCTGCTGCTGCTAATTATATATATTTTTTTTAAGTTTTACCCCAAAACGATGTCGTTTTGGGGCACTAGGATTGCAGGAAAGAATTGCTGTGGATCTGGACGCTATATAAGAGTATGAAGAGTTGAAATATGAAGATAAGCTTATCCTTTTAACATGTGGCTGTATTTTCAAGCTAGAAGGCTATCTGTTGATTGTTTTTCTATACATTAGAAAGAAGCTGTTGATTAATACCCCACATCCGATTATTATATATATCTATATATATATATATAAAATAGCAAGTATTGTGACCTTACTCCTGCTGATTAAAGGTCAGGTCTCATGGACTTTAGGCTGTTGCTGGTTGGTGCCAAGCCAAGTAAGGCTTGAGCTTTCGAACACCTTTGTGGACCCCACTGCGCTTAATGTTGATTGTTTTGGGCTGGATATTCTCTTTTGGGCTCCAGACCCATTGTTGATTGCTGCCCACTAATCACTGGGGCTTGGCCCTGCAATAACGGCCAAGTGCTCTTGGGGTTGAATTTGGGCTAATTTTTGACCCAGTGGATGCCCTTTCTTGGTCTGTGGGCCCTTTAATATCCCACAAGCCTCTTCTGCTTTCCAGGCCCACAAAATGCAGTTCTCCTAGATGCATTTTAATTTCACCTTCCAAGTTTCCGAATTTTTATACACATTGATTCCAACAACTTAATAATCTTCAAATGCATCATCAATACATGGCCACACAATCAAGTCATCAAAACACAAATGTGTAGAGAAGTGCAATTTTTGAAGTTCAAGAGGCAAGGCCTTGTTTGCCAAGTGAGGTTTTTAACTAAAAAATCACTACAAATTGTCAAATCATTTTTTTCTACTTTTTTTGCACATTTTTTCCATAAAAAATCATAAAAGTAACTAAAAAATCAATCCCCAAAACAACACTACAAAGATGGCGCTTAACGAATCAGATTACCAGTTAAAATTAAAATAAATTCAATTGTATTAAGAAGATTCACAGCCTCGGTTTCAGCCACAACCATACAAATATTGAGCACAAGGATGAAGACAAGCCTAATTCAAATTGGTTTGCATCCTCACCTCACCCAGATTAATAACATCACAGAATTACTAAAGGGCATTGGCTCTAGGCAGAAGCCAATGGAAGCACCAAAATGTGCAGTCGGATTGATAATACACAATGCTTCAGTGTATCAAGGTAACAGCTTTGGTAAGACAGTGCGATGAAATTTCATGGTGAATCTCTGTAAAAATGGAGACTTGTCAATCAGACATCTTCATGGCGGCAGGGCTTGTTGGAATGAACCCAGCCGGAGACACTATTGCATCCACGGGAACATCATTATGTGTAATAGCGATAGCTCCCTCATCCACAATCTGTAAAGAGTATGAAAGTGCAACTGCAGCCAAACAACAGGCACCAGGAGTGTGACTAAAGAAATAAAAAGGAAAAGACAAGCTTATTGCATATATAGTTAATCTGAAAGATAGAGGTGTTTAAAAAAAATGGCCAAACAAGTAAATTGTTCAGAATTGATCCAAACTGTATGGTTTGGCCTAGTTTTTTAGAGGCAGTTTGGTTTCAGATTCCAAAAAATTAAGAACCAGTTTATTACGGTTTGGTTTCACAGATGAGACTCAAAAAGAACGAATCAAACAATTTGATGATTTTATTAATTTTAATATGCATAGGGTGTTCCAGACCACAAGGTATCTACTTTTCTTTGAATCTCAATCTCAATCTCATTCTGATGTCGATGAGACCTTCATTCATCTTATTCACAAAGTATATCACTCTATAACAAAATGTGTATTGTTTTTTTAGGTTTTTTTTTTTTCACTACTCATATAATTTTTACACTTCTTATATTATTGAAACTTGCATTTTCATAGTAATTACTATATAATATGAATTTGTTTTCTTTTACATATTTTCTAAAGGTTAGTTTGGAGAATATTCAAAAAATTTGAAGTATGCTTTTGAAAACTTTAGAATACTTGTATAGGAAGGAAGAATCAATTTTTATTAACCTGGATAATCTAGATATAGTGATTACTGTTCAAGCCTAGAACCGAAGTGGAGCCAAACCACTTTTGGCTGTTTGGTTCTGGTTCGGTTTTTCACAGCTTGATTTGGTTTCTAAATTTCTGGAGCCATAAGGACCAGTTTGGTTCTTGGTTTACCTTGGAACCAAAACCAAACCGGTCCATGAATACCCCTATACTAAAAGAAATAGCACAATAAAGTTGGGTACCTACCAAGAAGGGGCTGCTTCCAGTTCCTCTTGCTAGCAAGCTCTTTGTATTTCTTCAGGAACATATCATAGTAACTTTGAATTTTTGCCCAGCACAGACAAAAGAAAATTGCAGAATGAGACATGCTTTATAAAATGTGCAGACAAAATAGGACATGCTTATATGATTTATGACACGTTGAATGTACTTCCAGACGAGCTGCACAAAAAGTAGCATGACCTGGTTCAGCATCTGATGCCACACACTTGCTAATTTTCAGTAACTTGCTGGTCTAGGGTACTTAAAGGACAATAGCCTTCAGAATAAACATTCTAAACAAGATTCATCAAGATCTCCTATGCGGCTGGAGAATAAGGACCAAAAAAAGAGTCTAATCCAATTGAAAGTTTATGCATTGGTTTAAAAACAGAGTTGTTGCGGACATACAACACTGGCAATACACCATATAGACACCACCAGATAGGCAACAGCAGTCATAACTGCTGTTTTTCATTCTGAGTTGACTTTTTGAATGCTTCTACATATCAATAACAATTATTCTTTTTTAAGTGGCTTCACGTACACCAAATTGTTAACATACAGTTAATAGAAGTAAAAACCGTTCAAATATCATAAACGGCATAATTATGAATGTTAAGGCAGCAATCATGAACTTACCCACCACTACGTCCCAAACGTCTTCCCAATCTGTCAAATGCAAGGCCTAGCAGTACAAAACCAAAGGTAAGACATATTCCAGTTTTTCCGTGGGCTTTGAGATCAAGAAATAGGAAGAAGGAAATCACCAGGTAGGACGAACAAGTCAACGGGCTCACTTGCCTGCATAACTGCACAAAAGAAAGTAACAGTAAGAGCATAAACAATTAAACATGTGTAAAAACCCCGAGCTTAATATAATATCAACTGCAAGGCGAAATTCAATCATGTCAAAGTAAAACAACAAACAGAAAGTAAAAAAGATACAAGAAAAACTCAAGTAATATTTGTAATATACCAAGACTACAATACTATTCCACAAAATTAAAACATAAATAGAAGGCTCAAATTAGCCAATCCACATACTCCGACCAATTTCTTCATTCAAACAAAGAGAATAAATTTAAGTACTATACAGCAAAAATTGGAAATATGTACCATCTTCGCGTTGATTTCCATCACAATCCACTGGAGATGGTTCCAAAATGTTCATTGAGTTTGCGATAAGATCAGTTAAACTTGAAATCTTGAGCATTCTCATGTTGCTATTCCGATCCTCAATGCGTGGAAGATAAAGATTTTTCCGGATCTGTGCACAACCCTCTTGAGTTGAAAATGAATTGTAAGAATCTCTACATGAGTAGTGACATGAATTGCATCTCAGTTGTGCAAGTATTGTTGATAATGTAGATTGCCTTGAAAAGATATATGGTGACCGTTGCTAACATCATGAAAGGTTAATCAGCTACTATGCAACAGTTTAATTATATATGAGACGGGCATGAGAGAAGAAACCAAAACCCATCTTCCATGCACTTGGCATATGACTTGTTGCAAGCTGACACCTGGAAGATCCTATCTAAGTGCTTCCTACGGTATTTTTATACCTTTTAGAACTCATATTGACACCAATAGGCATTATGCAGGAGTCAAATTAGTACTTATGGTATGTGCACATGATGTCCTGCCCTTTAGCTTCATTAGGACTGTTAAGTGTACAATACTTCGGTTGGAAGAATTGAAGTAACACCAACTGGTATGTCCAATGACCACACATCCTTGTCAGGAGAAAGTCAAGACAGAAATGTACAATATTAAAGAGTAAAATATTTTGATTACTAACCTTAAAAATCTATTGCCTCGCAGAAGTGCATGACTAGTTAGTTAACACAACCTTGTGTTAACAAATGATTTAAAGATAATAACAAATTATCTATGGACCTGCTGCTAAACCATATACCATCTCAAAGACCAATTACAAAAGATGGAACACTGCACATACCTTCAGCTGCATTGCATAAGATCTCTGACACAATTTTGGATGTATCAACTTCTCGTAAAGCAGCACAGCTTACATAAGCACATAATTTTTTACTTGATTTGAACCATGGAGCTTCTAAAACAAAATTCTGTATTGCATTATCTGAGAAGAAAATATCAAGTAAATGTCAAGTCTTTGGTCTTCTAAAGAAATCAGGCATATAATCAATCCAAATTCCACTAATTGCATAGCATTGCCGAGCAAGTGATGATTGTTTGGCATGTGTGATAGAGAGACATAAAGAAAGAGGACATTTATGTCCTTATACTAAATTTGCTACAAACAATAAAAATATTAGGATTATCATTGTATACCTGTTTCATGGATTGACAATAATGTGAATTATATATTTTAAAAAATTGTAATCCAAGATCTTGCAACTTATGCAACCTGTTCTCTCCACGTTAAAATTAAGGGCCGTGTTAACAAGTGTGCATTGGTTAACAAAACTTTAAAATGGTTATACATACTTTATAGCACACACTTTTATCAAGAATGAACAACCATTTCAAGTTTTTTAACAAGCACTCTTAGGCTACTCGTTAACAAGACTCCAAAATTAATATGGGAACATAGTCGAAGATCTGATAAATAATTCTAATATAGGATAGGAATAATGCCATAGCTAGGAGCTATGTTACATGGACTCTTCTAAATATGTTATATATATATACACACAGCACTTTATGTATAAAATTGAAGATTATCAATAGTTAACATAGTAACCTCGACTACATATATGCATACTTGTTGGGTGCATGTAACATATCATTTTTTACTACTAAATTCCAAGTTAGTTTAGGTCTTCCCTTTCCCATAACATTTTCGTTTGTGGTGATCATATAACTCTTTCTTACCAATGAATCTATAGATTTTCGTCGCACATGATGAGCCAACCATTTTAGTATGTTCTCTCTCAACTTATCTTCAACTAGTGCTACTCCAATAATTTCACGAATATATTCATTTATAATTATATCTTTCCTAATCTTACCACACATCTCTCTAAACATTCTTATCTCAGTTACTCATTTTATGAACATCTTATGTCTTAGTTGCCTAGCATTCTATCATATAAAGCATCATTGGCCATATAGTTGTTCTATAAATTTTTTCTTCTAATTTTGTGTGTATTCGTCGATCACATAATATGTCAAAAGTATTCTTCAACTTGAGCTAACCTACTTTGATTTCATGGATCACATCATTTTCAACCTTACCATCCTTATTAATAATTGAACTAAGTCACGGAAATGTTAATTTTTTGTTATAGCATAGTTTTCAATCTTCACTTATTCATTATTTCTACTTCTACTGTTACTAATACATTCCATATATACAGTTTTATTTCTACTAAAATTTTAAACTTTTTTTTACTAAAACACTTTACCTTAAGATTTCTAATTTAGCGTTAATTCTTCAGTTTCATCCACCGGAACAACATCATATGTGAATAACATAGTTTAATACCTAAAAAATTTATTAATTAAAAGATTTTCATTATCCCATGATTACTAATTACTAGAGGGTTAACTGTACTTAGAAACCTCTCTAACCACATTATAATAATCAATCCAAATCGCCAATCCTGCAGACTGGCACATGAAAATTGGAAACTAACCCACTAACAATAAACATACACAAAACTTGGGTTTGGCCCAGTGGTGTGTGGTGAGGGAAAGGCCAGGGTTTGAGCTGATGGAGCGGTGACTTGTAATGTAATCTAATTTTGCTAACAAACTAACTTCCTACAGTCTTGGCCCCCAAAAAAAAATCACTACCAATAAGGGATCAATATATCATCTATTGAAGAAGCCCAATTCAAAATTTCGGTCAAGCAATCAAGCAAACGCATTGCTTACATTTATACCATCTACTGAAAATTTCAGTCAGGCAATCAAACAAACACATTGCGTCCATTAATTTGTCAAGGCGGAGATAAAGGGAATTGAAAGGGACCTTCTTGAGATCTCTGAATTGGGTCCATGCTCTTAAGCGCTTTACGCATTTTGGATCGAAGTGCTTGCTTTTGCTGAACGATTGCTTCCAGTTGGTTAGGGTCGTCGTCTTTGTTCATCGTGACAATGGATCGGCGAGGGCTTGGCGCAGGGCGTACAATAGCTGAACGCAATGGCAGGAAGGTTGAATATGCGTTGGGTGATGTTATCGTGCGCGTTTGGTTCATTAGCGCTTCCTTCGCCTCTCTGATTAGCAGCCTCCTAGCTGAGCTCATTCTACAGTAACCTTCAGATGTTTTCCTTTGAGGATTGCTAGCATATGTATTATGAATCATACATAGCCCATTATTAAGGCTAGGGTTGCATCTTAAAAAAAAAAAAAAAAAAAAAAAAAAAAGAAAAAGAAAAAGAAAAAGAAAAAGAAAAAGAAAGAGGGAAGTTAAAAAGTTAAAAAGTCATTATCTTATTTAAATCACATTATCTTATTTAAGTTAGATTACTTTTTTAATACATCACTTCAAACTCAATCCATATTTTATAAAAAGTTAAAAAATACATTTATTTAGAACATTCTAAATAACCCATAATAATTCAAAAAATAAAAACTAATAATAATTAATGATTTTGGGTTTATTGGTGAGAATTTTATATTTATGAAGGGATATGTTTTTAGATCTACATTTTTTTTTAATGATAAAGACACATCAAAAAAATTGTCGCAAAATTGATCAAGAGATAGACAACTAAAAATCAAATTAGAGATCCACACTTTTAAACTTATAAATTCACTCACAATAATGTGACAATATTATTAAGTGGGTAAAAAATTAGAATGTGACACATATGATACCACATCATTATAAGTACGACTGTGAGAGCTTTTTTAGGGTCTTAAACATTTTATGACTATAAATCCAATTTTAGAATTTTTTTTTTTTGGGCAATAATGTTGAGTTCCAGTCTTTGAGGTCACAAGGACAATAACAATTTGAAAAATTATATTATTTTTATTTATCTGTCTACTATATATTCTACCTATTTATTCACGTGTTACCCATCTGTCTAGTATCATCTATATATCTATATCTCATTTGTTCACATAATTTACCCGTTGATCTCTACTACCACCACCGTGAATTAGTCCTGTCAACGGATCGGGTATAACCCGAATCCGATCCGAATCCGATCCGATCCGAATCCGATCCGATTAATCCGGTCCATTTATGTAAATCCGAATCCGAATATCTGTTTAACCCGCATCTATGTAGCCCGATTTTAAACGGGTCGGACTCGGATAAATCCGATCCAATCCGTTTGTTTGCCTAATCCGATTCCATTGAAATCAGATCTCTTTGGAGCATCTGTTCACTTCCTACATTAACAAATATTTACCGTACATTTTTTTTAGCAATAGAAAAAAGGTTTACTGATGCAAACCAAAATACAAATTTAATACAGTAAGAGTACATCAATGGAAAAAGGGCTTGGAAAATTCCAAAGGAAAATAGCAACAATGCAGACGGACCACATCCCCAACTAGTGCTCGAGCTTGCTAATCATGTACTAATCGATGCCCAATATTTCCCATTAAAAGAGAAGTTGGCAAGAAGCCAACAATTTAACGGACGTTATTTTAATATTTTTCTTTTGAAAAAAACCAAACCAAACAACTTTTCGTACTTTTTATCTCTAAAACATATCTCTCAAACACAAACCAAACATACCATGTTTTGGATAAATTTTTAATATTTTATGAAAAAATATGTAAAAAAAATAGAGAGAAAAAAAATCTTTGACCTTTTTTTTTAGTTTGTTGGTTTTTTTGACATTTTTAGTGCTTTTTTGACTTTTAAATTAAAATAGTAAATTGCCAAACGAGGCCTAAAGGAGTGTTTGGGAATTGATTTTTTTAATAATTTCTGATTTTTTAAAAAAAACATATAAAAAAATAAAAAGAATAATTTAATAACTTGTAATAACTTTTTAATTTTTTAATTAAAAACTAAAGTTTCAAACAATACTTGAGTCTTATTTTTATTAATTTTTGTCAATTAAAACACATTTTATCACACAGTTTTAACATCTTAAAGAAAGAGCATGATTAGACATGGAAGTGCATGCTTTGGAACCTAAACTCGATTGGTCATCGCAGCATAAAATCGTTTGGTTGGGGAAACTTTTGCATAGATATATAAATAATGTTGAGTTATATTCGAGGATTGTTGTTGATGTTATCGAATTTGAGGGGACAATGTACAAAGTTGTAATGTACGAATCCAATGACAAAAAGATAAGATTTTTATACAGTATCTACAAGCTGTGAACCAACCCAACCCCTTTATTCTGTGAAGCTAAATAAAGATAAGTTGTGTTTCAATTTGAGAAGATATTAGGACGGACTCAAACATGATCATAAACTTGTTCATAGTAATGTTCTCCATTAATTAATCTACTGTGAGCTCATATTAGTGTCCGTTTCGATGATTTAAATCGTTTATTTTGTAAGATTAGTTAAATAGATCAGTTATACTATTAAAAATTAACTTAATCAGAAATTGGTGGTCATTTAATCAAATCATATTTGATTAAGTGGCTATCAATTTTTGATCAAATTGATTTTTAGTACATATGATTTGCTTAAAAGACTCTACAATATAAACAATTCAAATTATTCAAATTAAATTATGGACACAAAATGAACCAGCAATAGACCGAACTAGACGGCTTAATTGGAGACAATCCAGTCTCAATACTAAACTAGTGACTATAGGTAGGGGTGTGCACGGTGCGGGTCGGTGCGGTTTGAGAGAAAAATAGAAACCGTATGGCGGGTGGCGGATTGATAAAAGTGTCACTAGAATTTGCCATTTTCCTTATCAAAAACCGGCGGTTCGGTTGGCAAATAATGGCGGATTTGCCTTGGCGGTTCGAGCGGATTGGCGGTTTATAAAAAATATAATTCAAATTGTAAAAAATATAATATTGAAAATGTTTATTGTTGAAAAGTATTTAGATTGAAAAGTGAGCTGATGCAAGTTTGCAACATGGCCACAAAAAAAAAAAAGATTGAAAAGTGAATTGGAATCCAACTTTATTTTGGATTACTGACATTTTGAATTCCCCTCGAACGGTAATGTAATACTATATTCTAAGATATAGAACAACAAGCAAACTTAAGTAAAAAAAAAATTTAGAATCTTATAAAACATGATTTAATAGCGGTGCGGGTCGATCATAAACTTGTTCATAGTAATGTTCTCCATTAATTAATCTACTGTGAGCTCATATTAGTGTACGTTTCGATGATTTAAATTGTTTATTTTGTAAGATTAGTTAAATAGATCAGTTATATTATTAAAAATTAACTTAATCAGAAATTGGTGGTCACTTATATTTGATTAAGTGGCTATCAATTTTTGATCAAATTGATTTTTAGTACATATGATTTGCTTAAAAGACTCTACAATATAAACAATTCAAATTATCCAAATTAAATTATGGACTCAAAATGAACCAGCAATAGACCGAACTAGACGGCTTAATTGGAGACAATCCAGTCTCAATACTAAACTAGTGACTATAGGTGGGGTTTGCAATTGTGATCTTAGATTTTTTATTTTTTTTTTAATCTAAAAAATTTGGTATGTTTTGTAATTTTTACAAAAAAAGTTACATTTTTATAATAGAAAAAAAAAATTGTGAATCATTTTGAACTTTTGATTTTTTGTGAGAAATTACCATATTACCTTTATAGTGTCATGGAGTATTTGTTAACAAAAATAAAAAATTACGGATTTGGGTTGTTTGCTATACTCCCAGCACAACAGGCTCTATAGGCTTATTTCGGGATCTATTTTAATAATCCAAACCGTTCAAATTTTAGAGTGCATTAAGTAGAACATACCTGTAAAAAATCAAGTTAATCGGATATTGTTACCCTTTCAATCACTCACATTTGTATCTATAAAAATAAATGACATTGTGATTTAAAGTATTAAAATGAATACAAATATGAGTGAATGAAAGAGTTGACGATATCCGATTAATTTAAATTTTTACAGATATGCTTTACTCGATGTAATTTAAAATATGAATATTTCAAATTATCAAAATAGATCCTAAAATGAGCCAATAGAATAGCACAACAATGCATGTTGTGCCCCCAACACAGCAAGCACCCTAGATTCAAAAATCACATGGCCGCATTAAAAATTTTCAAAGTATGTAGAGTAAAAACATCTTTTAATAATTTTGTTAACATTCTCAAAAAAAAAAAGTTAAAAATTGCATTTATAGTCGAACCAAACAAACTTTACTTTTGGCTTTTTTAGCCCCAAAAAAAAGTTTATTTATAAATTGTCAAACAAGGCCTACATGGCTAGTTATTATATATTTAGTAATAAGTAGGGTTAAAATGTTACAATTTATTAATATTGTTCTAATGGTGCAAACGTTATTTATTTATTTTTTCACAAAATATCAAATAAACAATAATATTATGAACCAAAATTTTACCTAGAAATATTAATATATGGTCTAATTCATTTTGTACGTGAACTTTACAATACATCACTTTGATCTGCAACACACTTATGGACAAAAATATGTACCACCATTAGTAATGAGAAATAAAAAGGGTTGTCAAATTTAGCAATAACTAAATCTTGTACCAAATTTTAGCATTAATTTAAGAATCCTAAAATATAGCTTAATGTTTTATTTATTGGAGAGTTCAAATTCGATATTCAAGACTATTTTTTTTACGATAAGAAACATTTTACCATACTCTCATAGCATTTCCAATGGTGAGTGCTAATATTCAAGTTAAGTTTTGAATTTACATCATGATTTGGCAATATTGCTGTAGTGATGCGAATATGAAGTCATTTGTGATTTGGAAATCATGAAGCTCAATATTGCTCTAGTAAGGTAAATTTTTGGCTATAATGTAAGCACTTTTTTTTTTTCACAAATCCTCAAAAGAGAAATTAATCCAATAAGGTTCGTTTGGGATGTAAGTTAGTTTTTTGGCTTTTTGATTTTTTGATTATTTTAGCCTGAGTTTAAAAAGTCTCATTTGGGATAGTCTTTTTGACTTTTTTGAATTTTGTAAGAAAAAAAATGAAATGATTATGGTTTAGATGTAATGTTTTGTGTTATTAAATTAAAAAGTCTATTTTATTTTTTTGTGACTAAAATAACAAAAAAACAAAAAAGTTTGACATGCCATACAACAGTTATATGTACCTTGCTTGGTTGAGATGGTTGCACCTTGGTAGGTAGACTCAAGGCAAGTAGAAGCCATATCATCAGATAGGATTCCACTCCAAAATAGTTTCTTTTTGGAAGC